CATCGCCGCCGCAAACCAAATAATTTAAGACCACGAACTGTTTCTACCAACTCTTCACGATTACACAAATATACACAATTAAATGAAATTCAAATAATTCAAGGCAAAGTTTTTCGAAAATGCGGATGACTCTTGGGCGGTTTGCTAGCTTTCTGTCAGGCGGTCTCGGGTTCGGCCGGTTCCCGGCCGGAGCCAAAATGAATCTGGACCTTTCTAATACAAATGGTTTTAGTGTCTATAGCTGTGTAACGACAGAAGAAGCTCAGGCCGACCAAGTACGATAGGAAGGGTGATGGGAATACGTTATGGTCGCCACGTGACTCTCTGACTCTCTTGATAACGGCTTAGATAATAAATAAATAAAATAAGGGCCCAGGTCTGGGAACACTGCTAGCCACCAAAAGTTGGGTTAATCCGACCCTAAAATGCCAAATACTTGTACGGTGAAAACAATTAGACAACTTTTTTTTACCACGATATTCTTCACGATTACACAAAGCTAAACACTTAAATAAAAATTTTAAAAGTTCAAAACGTTTTTTTCTCTCGAAAGTTGAATAACTTAGGGCAAAAATGTTGTAACCCACAAATTAAAACCAGCACTAGGCACTGCAAAATGGATTGTAGCTATGTTGAAGAGTGCCCCTACACAGAGAATGTTGGCTAACTAAACTTCATGTTAATTTCTCTTCATGTTATTTAATTTATAGAATTACACAATTTCTATTGATATTAGGATTGCAGTCACTTAGAAAGCTGGAAACACAAATGCTTTCTGCATGAACAAGCTCTTTGCCCAGAGGTATTCAATTATTAAAAGCAGAATAGCAGTCCTAATCTATGTGATTAAATCATATTAATTCAAAGCAACAAATAACTATTTTTTTCAACATTTTCCAATTTTCTCCTACTTAAAAATATTAATTTAGGATTAAACAATAAAGAGAAAAAAGAGATTATGTACAGATTTTCACTAATTGAAGATATTATTCCCGAAGTAACAGGACTAGAAGAATCAATTTTTCAGGAAGAGAAAAATTCAGCCTTGAACTAAAGTTCATAGTTCATAGTTCAAAGTTCAGATAGGATTCAACGCTTTTCGGATGTCATTTAACCTAGGAGAAATCCAATATTTGAACACAATATTTGGCAGCATGATGGGCAAGCATCATACGAATATACTGACTCATAAAATTAGAAACAAACGAAATTGAAGATACCATACATTGAAAAAAAAATTCGATTTTCCATGAAAATTAGCAAGACATGAGAGATTAATCTGAAATGTGTGTCTTGGTTTCCCAGGAGGCGCAGGTGCTGGAGCCGGGGGTGGGGCAGGTGCTGGAGGTGGGGGTGGGGGTGGTGGCTGGGGGTGGTGCTCGGGGGTGTGCTGGGGCTGGCGGGGGCTCGGCTGGGCGGCACAGCGGGATCGGCAAGTGGCAGTCCGAGCGGGACCGCCGGGGCGTCTGCCAGCGGGAGTCCCAGTGGCAGTGCGAGCGGCAGCGCTAGCGGAAGTCCTAGCGGAAGTCCAAGCATGGGATAATGGAGCCTCACCCTTGGCCAGGGTCTTAGACGTATGGGGTTCAAAAGAAGGCGTCAGGGCGCCTGATACTGATCTATATGGTATTCACTTTCATCTGTTATTAACGCTCTATTCTAGCAGTTCTCTTGCGTTGTGAGACGACGAGGGAATAAAAACAATAAACAGGAATGAGTTACTGATATTTCTTATTTCCTTGACCAGCAAAATTACTAAGCCTTTAAAAACGGTGTCTACATGATTCACTTTGTGAGCTATAAATTTAATGACGAGAAGTACCACCAGCAGTGGACGGCTTTTATGTGTTCATTGCATTGAACCATTCCCTTTCCTTGGTTAAAAGGGACTATTTTCGTGCATTTATATTTTTTGCCTTGAGCCCCAACAATGATGACTGTTTCCAAAAACCTTGAAACTCAAGACAACAGTAGAAGTCACAAATTTTTCCGGAGTCAATCTGATACATATGTTCAGTTGTTTTTACTCTCGTATACGGACTAATATACGTAATATTAATTATGTAATGCTGTGCGAAAAAACCGCAAATTTTCGGCTGAAAAAAATCATTGCCAGGGCCTGGTAACGAAAAAGTGGATAAATCCTGTTGCTAAATTAAGAAGAAAAAATCCCCTTAACACGTGTAGTCAGAATCCCTGTTTTGAGGGTCCTTGATACCGAAAAATCGATTGACGGCAAAACGTCCGACGTATGTGAACAACACTAGCGTCTAAACTATGCAAATAATTTTGGTCAAATTTAAGAAACCCCTGTCGATCTGACCTGAGTCAAAACTCTTAAATTTTGAAGAACACTAATTAATTTTAGGGGTACTTTACAGGAAGCTCCCCGGACATTTTCAAACTTTTCTCAATAACGGCTCCAAATTCTTTCTATAAATTTCTTGTAAAATAGAGGAAAATACATTTATGAGGGTGGGATATGTCCGATTTCCTGGTTAACTAAGAATCTTCGAAAATTTCAAAACTTTGAAATTTTTTGGGCATCTTCCTACAACTACAAAATTAAACAGACAAAATTGATTCATTTGTTTTCAAAAATTATAAAATGTAATGTTTCTGACTTGTCTCACACGTCGTTAATGTTTACAGTAGTGGCAATTTGTTCGCATTATTATTTTTATGAGTACATGTTCTTTAAATAATGTCAAGATTCTCGAAAACTCAACCGTTTTGTGTGAAAACTAGCTCAACATTTTTCTTCAAACTTTTCTAATGGATATTTCTATTGTACTCTTTAACATGACGTAAAGTTCATTTCGGGGTATTCTTTTGTTTTTCAAAAATACATACTTACATAAAATAAATTTTTTTAAGATCCCGCATGCCGTTAATATGCAAATTTTCAGCAACTTGTAAACTTTATTGTATTGGTGAGTTAGTGTGTTTTAAATTACTTTAAATGAAATTTTTCGAAAACTCAAATTGTCTGTGAAAAGGAGCTTCAAATTTTGAATTTACAGTGGCGTTTAAACGACATTTTCTTAAACTATTAGGAAACCGAAATATTAAGAAAATTTCAAAAAAATGTTCTGTTGGCGGCAAGGACAGGAGCTTAGCAAGAGTATGTGGCAAGCCCGAATAACTAGCCGTGACCAAAGGAAATAGAAAACTAATATAGGAAAGTCTGCGCCATTCTGTAGCACCACTAGTTTTTTTTTCTAGTATCCCAGTATGGTCGGTAAATTGCTAAGGTTACCGATTGGAAAGCAAAAATTAACTATAGAACGCTTCAAAAAATTAGCGCGTCGACTGAGGCGACTCCCAAAATGTTTTGCAGAAAGATGATTGAACACGTCTGTCCAGCGGGAAGGCCAAACCAGCGCCTTTTTTGTTTGACGTTAATATGGTTATTTTTCATTTTATTTTGTTTTTGTTTCGCAATTCATGTTGCTTTATAAGCATTATAATATTAGGTTCTAACGAGAGTTACTATTACTTTTGTTATCCGTAAGCTTTATGGAGTTTTATTCCAGCCATTAAGAAAAAGAATAAAAGAATATTCTCGTCTTGTAGTTCTCATTCAAATCATGAAAAGAGAAAGTCACGATTTCAAATTCTGAATAACTATGGTTTTGCTTGAGTTCTCTTGGCTCTATTTCTTGATAGCACAGCCTTTATTTTCTTTTTATACAGATTTTTTTAAAAGAGAAAGCAATGAATCAAATGATGAAAGCTGAAAGACTATACAGATTTTGGGGCCGTAAATTAATATTTTCATATTTGAAGTTAGCCGTGTACTTCACTAGTACGTTTATACTTTCTGCTGTCAGCTTCTGAACAGAACTCTCTGCTTTATGGATAATGAAAATCGACCTAAATATACACATTATTTATTATTAAATGAATTATGTAAAGCATGCTATTATTGAACATAAATATTAAGCAATCGTTAGCAATTAGGTAGTTTTAATTCAGTAAACTCAAAACTATTACGTCAATTTTCATTACGTAATAGAATACATTGTTTTCACTAGTTACCACATTGCGCCTAAAAAGACCCAGACAAGCGGCGGTTCTCGAAACTATTTACGGGGCGGAGAGGAAAATTAAGTGGGCACCGTCACATATTTTTGAAATAATAAATGTTAAAAAATTGTTAGGCTGGATTGTTTTAAATGTGTGTTCATAATAGGAATACTGATTTGGAATGTAAAATCATCAATAGATAGTATTTGTTTTGAAACATTCGTGTAAAATACAAATAAAGAGCTCTTGGATTCGATGATGGCGCGATTCCACTCTAAAGTGGCGAGCCCTCAGGGTGGAGAGAACCAGAGATCTGCAAGGGGAGATGGGCTTTTCTGGGCACGTCCACTGCGATGGTAATTAGTCCAATTAGTGTAGTGATTTTTTAATGCGGTAGGTAACGGTGTTTCTCCCCCGCTGGATGGTGAGATCCTACCGACACATTGGCTTGCGGGAGAATTCCCCGCCAGGTATCTCCCCCCAATAGGACCCCCCCCCCCCCAGCCGAGTCAAGCTCTAAGCATTCGACTGCTCTCCCGACATGTGTGGTAGTGAAGTGTATGTAACTGTGTGAGTAAGTAACGGGTGAGGTTAGGACAAGGAAGAGGAAGGAAAGATCGCGCGCGGTTTTGGCCCGTTTGTAAGGGTACTGCTCCGGCATTCGTCTGGTTTGGAAACCGCGGAAAACTACAGATCAGAACCGCCGACCGCTAGAATTCTCCTTCCTATAGCAGCGACTGAATCGGGCCCACCCGCCCCGCTTTTTAAAAAAAAATATTTATGTTCTGAATGAGATTACAAAGTTCAGTTTATGCCAACTTTACATTTGCATTTCTAGCTTACAATCTAACTTCATCTATTTTACTACTAACTCTACGCTACACCTGACGAGGGGGGGGGGTCACAGGGGAGCACCTCAATCTGGCCCGCTCGTGTGGAAACCCCGCCCCCGTTCGCGGAGGGGCAGCGCTCACCTGGCCATGAGGACGACGCGGTGCGCGTAAACGGGCGCCTCCTCGCGCCCCACCAGGAACACCACGTCGGCCGACTCGTGGTCGTCCGCCAGGCGCTGCAGGTCCTCCAGCAGGCGCGGCACGCCCGCCAGGCTCTTGTCCGGGCAGTGCGCCGCCACGCGGGTGCCCATCGTGGCTGCCTCCTGCGCCTTCGACCCTGCTGCGCACACACACACACACAGCGGCGGGTTTAGGCACTACACGGCAACCAAGCCCAAGCGTAAAGGAAGTTGGGGTCTTCGACAGGAATGAAATCCTCAAGATTTAATTAAAAAAAAACAACAACACAAATTAAAATAGATTTTTACAATGTACATAACAATATTTAAATACAGTGCTTGATTTATATAATTTTACGTCCCGGACCGCGCCCCAAATTAATTTTTAATTTAATAGAAATAGTTTTATATTTATAATTTAATAATTATAAATGACAATATCATTAATAATAATAACAATATCAGTGGTAATATGGGCTCTATGTTATAATAATAATAATAATAATAATAATAATAATAAAATTAAAATTAAGAGTTTATAATATTTTATTGTTTTTACTAATAATTTTATTACATTTTAGAATAACTTTTTTTTTAATTTACATTTTCACGTTGCGTTCCCGAGGAACCGAAATCATTCCGTTGCGTTCTGCCAGAAATCAAGCAATGTGTAAACAAATTGCTTATAAATAGTTTTATTTAAACAATTTTAAAATTCCTGTCCTCAAAAACAAATTTATTTACAAATAAACTTTGGCCTTTAAACAACTGCTTATTTTGCATTTCACTTTTATAAGAATTTGGTCCTACAAATTCAACACTCACGTGCTCACAGACGTATTCGCTAGGTCGAAACATAACCACAGGCACTGTTCAAATTTGTTAGCTATTCGCTAAATTGCGTATGCGCAGATCTTCAACCAAGTGAGAGCGATGAGATGATTTAACTCCACCACGCATTTCATTTGCTTCCAAAATTATCTTGCTAGATTATCTACCTAAATTTCAAAATTTGTTCAATGTAGCTTCGTATATTGCGGATCATTATAACAATTCAATTATCTGAACGTAGGAATTAATTACATAAACGATTTTGGCTCTATTTTGTATACGCTACAACTGGTATTCAGTGGTCCCATGGTGTAATGGTTAGCACTCTGGACTTTGAATCCAGCGATCCGAGTTCAAATCTCGGTGGGACCTGTAGCAATTTTGTGAAAGGACACAAAGTTCATTTCAATCGAAAAGAACACTTGGATATCGCCGCAAAAGAACTACTACGAATTGGAAACAAAATGTACGTAAAAAGAAAGCAAAACTCTCAACCGGCTCACAATTTCCGAACAACAAACTGACTCACGCATCTTCTACGAGCCCGGATAGCTCAGTCGGTAGAGCATTAGGCTTTTAACCTGAGGGTCCAGGGTTCAAGTCCCTGTTCGGGCGTAAATTTTTTTCCCTACAGATCTGAATATAATCTTGTATGAAATGAGTACTGAAATATTAGAATCGCCAAATTATAAAATAACCTAAGAATAAATAACATTTTAGTTTTATTGATAATGCATGAAATGTATTACTTTTCTGGTTTTAAAATACAAACAATTCTCATAATTTAAAATTAGCATGATTATTATGGCAACATAATATTAAGTGAATGTGCATCTAAAGAAAAAAAAATGCACATTAATTTACACAGATATCTGATACTTTATTACGGTACACGATTTCATCTCTCTTGCAAATCTTGATCAAAAATTTCTGGAAAATTGTCAAGGTATACGCACAAATTACGCAAAAAACATTATTATTTTTAAATAATTGTATCTAACATAATTTAAAGAGCTCATTTTGAAAACCAGATTTCCTCAAGAAATAAGCTATGCCTTCAAACATATAGTTGTAGGAGTGGTACGAATAAAATTTAGTTTTGCAGTTTCCGAAAATTCAGAGATTTTAATGAAAAACGGAGCTTCACTACTTTTATACGTTGCTCTTTTCAAGCAAGCAAATATAAAATAATTAGAGTAATTTGTTCAGAATATTTTGAAAATGATTTATCAAAGTAAATCTAAAACGTTCAAAAAACCACTTCAAATTCGCAGGGCCTTGACACCGCCCAGATTGAGGGAAATCCATCCTATCAGAGGAACTCCTGTGAACGGTTTTGGCGCTAGCGTGGTTGGCACAGAGACGGCAGGTAGACGTTTTGAAACAAAAAGCATTTTTTCCGTATCGGAGACCCTGCCATAGAACGCGTATATCCGTATAAATATTAACATCGATATTGCACTCTTCTTAACTTTCTCTGAACTGCGTTGAACTTATATTCTAGTAAGCCTACACGAGTAAGTAAAACACCGTTTCCTTAATCTCTTAAACGAATGTAAAACCATGTATACATGGTACGATTTTCGTGCAGATTCTCGTACTGTTTCTGTACAGAAACTTCCAGATTTCAAACTGGAAGTATAAAAGCGAAAAACCGCGCATACATGGTCTGTACGTTTTCTGCATTAATTCTGTACCAATCGCCACAAGACGCCGATAGGGGGTCTATCGGTTAACAACTGAATTGCGCCGTCGTAGTACTTTTAGTGGCAGTATTTCTGAGCTGCGTTAGGCTGTGTGATCTTTATGAAGTACTAATTAACCACGAGGAGCACAGAGAAGAAAAATAGGAAGGCAGGAATAGGGAAGGGGGTAGTTTATCACAATTTCACGTCACGCGAACGCACCTTCACACATCTAACCACAAAATCGAAATGACCGATTACTATGGGCGGCGGGGTATTAAACGATTCTGTGACACGAGGTGCCCGAGTCAAACTGTAAGCTTTCTGCATGAAAAAATTACCAACATGTTCAAAAGCTTGACAGACTGAACGTTTTCTGTACAAATCTGCACGAAAACTGTACCGTGTATTCCGGGGAAACTTTGAAAAAACAAATTTCATGATTGTTCGTAAACCTTATGCAAAAGTACTAAGCCCTAGAACATTGGAAGAGTGTGAATACTAAGTGGTAACTTTATAAAGTAATTCTATTTTAACATTATGATATTTGGAAGATTACGATGGTTAACTGTGAAATAACGACTGCAGATACAATACACGAGGCAAAATCGAATTTTTAAAATAAGACGAATTTTAACCAAAACGTCTAGGGTACAAATACCTGACCGGGCTTAATAATTTGTTACATAAATAAAACACGTCACACAAATAGCTATTAAAACATAAATTTCTCATGGCTAAAAAACACCAATATATAATTTACTGTGATATAATGTGTTCAACGAAAATATTTTCTCAACTAGTAGGGCATAGTATATCTATGAACTGCAGAACGAACAAATATATTTCAAGAATACTTTGGACTGAAATAATGATGCTTTTTCTGCACATGATATTGATTTTACTGATGATTTTTTATTGGATTTATATATTTATGCATCGTTTGGGAACATTGTTTACAAAATTTACATTTTCAAATGATTCAGATGAACGGATCACATTCGCACGTATACAAATCAAATAACCGCTTAATTTACATTTGCTATTTAATTTGTGTTTAATAACTTAAAAACAGGAAATGATGCATTTTCTTTAGTCTAAACTGTATATTGTGGATTTCACTGAACGAACTTCTTTCCACTGCAATTCTCCGGGGCAATTCAGTATTCCATTATAGATTTCATCACAATTCACGTCCACATACATACATAATGCCGTCAGTGAATAGAAATGGCACTAGCACTGTCGTCCCCAGTGGCGCAATTGGTTAGCGCACGGTACTTATAGGACAGTAACTGAGATATGCCGGGGTTGTGAGTTCGAGCCTCACCTGGGGAATACTTTTATTCTAGATGTTTGCTTTGTGGTAAAGATCAGAGCATGCAAAACCATACTCTATACCTCAAAACGACCAAATCATAATTACAAACTAAAATATTACGCATATTATAGAGATCATTAACTACACAATCAAACGATCTAAATGCGATGGCCAGCTGAAACTTCTCACTCTTTGCTTAAGCCAAATGGCATTCTCACTTATTTTCCGGCCATTACTAAATAAGTAGTTCGTCTCTATACTTCTGTGTATAAAAGTGCTTTCTGCCGTAATACTTTACTAATCTTCCTTACACGTTTTCTGCAAGACAATAAATTAAATGCCAGAGTCTTAGCACACGCTACACATGTTCATATTCTAGAATAGAGCGGCACGCTGGGATTCTTACAGATGAGGAAGATAAAATTCAGAAAAGGACAGAAAAGATTCTTGAATTTGTTGGAGGAGAAGTATGGGATTCGTTAGCTGCAAGAAGCAAACGACTGTATTAATATGTAATGTTCAAGACTTACATGGGATGTAAAATGGGCACGTATCGGTAATAGATTACAGAAACCTGCTTACAAATGTAGAGTATACCATCCTTAGAAAGCACGTCGTAGAAAGCAAAGGACTCGTGTAGGTAAGTTCTCCTTTCTGAATCATCCGTAATAGACTAGAATAAACTACCAGCAAAAGCACTAGACGTTCTGAATTCGAACATAAACAAATTTAAAAACATACTTAATACCATTTAGACGTTTGTTACTATGAATACTGACATTTTAATTATTATAAGTATCATTATTGGTTCCATTATATTATTAATTATAGAGTTATTGGCACACAAATTGTGAAATGCTGACATGCACACTGATTCTAAAAACTAACTAGAAGAGTGGGGATATTTATTTTATTTCTCCAAAAAGTTTATTTTGCATTTGATACAATTTGAATGAAAGTGATAAAGAATGGTGTGGTGAAGTAATAAATAAACAAAGTAGTGAAGTGTTGCCTTACGGAAATGGTCCTCGATGATTCTCTTTTTGTTTTCGTCGACGGTCGGCATGGAAATATATATGAGGCTGTTTAAGTGGTTATAGAGGGAAGAGGGTTTAATGACAACAGACAAAACAACTTTGTCAAACCACTCACTTCCCTTCCGGTTCAAATCGTCGGTCTCTGTATTCATCGCTTCAAAAATGTGGAAATAGCATGAGAGCTGAGTTGAGAAAGACACGATGTTGAAGCATTATCCAATCTAATTCCTGAAGTGAATTCCTGTTCTACTTGGCAGTGCGTGGACAATCGATACTTTTAAGTTTAA